AATATTCTTCGGAGAACATCTTGATTAAAACATGTCGTGGATTGATCGGTCCTATCACCGGCATTTCGCCAACCCCTAATGTTGCTGGATAAAGGATCTAATAGTGTTGATTGGGGGATGTCCTCTCGAAAACTTGGCTACCTATGACAACTCAAAAATCTTAGTTGATTATTGTAGATCGACTCATAAAGAATTATGTAGAAAAGATAATGGAGAATGATTTTTTCGTATATATCGTCTAAGCATTTACGACTTATATATATACTAATTGTAATACAACAAGATCCTATTTTATAGCCTAAACATAAGATAATTAATTACAAATAAGTAAACAAATTATTTACACAATCCGTCAAATTTGATAATATATTTTTTCTCCTTAGATTGCTCACGCCAACACTCCCCTCGAGTTGGTGAATATATGTCAATCATTCCCAACTTGTTAAGTGAGCTTTGAAAATCTTTTTCGAATACGACCTTTGTTAGAACATCTCGCTAGTTGATCTTTTGATGTGACAAACGAAAGACTAATTCTACCTTTGTCAAGATGGTCTTTGATGAAGTGCCGATCAACTTCCACATGTTTGGTTCCGTCATGCTCGAACAGGATTATTTGCAATTGCTATGGCCGCCTTGTTATCACATAATAACATCATAGGTTTTGACGGACATATACCAAGATCATGTAAAATACGTTTTATCCATAAGCAACTCACGGATACCTCGTGCCATTCCATGAAATTCCGCCTCCGCACTCGATCTTGCTATAACCTTTTGTTTCTTGCTTTGTTATGTAACCGAGTTACTTCCAACAAATGTAAAATACCCCAATGTAGACTTTTGATCGGCTTTAACTTCCAACCCAATCCGCATCCGTATATCTCTTGATTTCTAGATCTCCATTTTTAGCAAAAAACAATCCTTTTCCTGAGAAGATTTCGAGTATCGCAGGATCCGATAAACGACCTCCATATGATCTTCACTTGGTGCATGCATGACTTGACTTACAATACTTACCGTATATGCAATGTCGGGACGCGTATGCGATAAGTATATTAGTCTCCCAACTAATCTTTGATACCTCTCCTTATTGGTTGGAGTTGGATCTTGTTGAATGGCTAACTTATGATTTATCTCAATGGGAGTTTCAATAGGTTTACAATCAAGCATACCGGCTTCGCTAGTAGAATCTAAGACATACTTTCATCAGCAAAAAGAGATTTCGTTGCTCGATCTCGCAACTTCAATGCCTAAGAAATATTTCAAGTGCCCAAGATCTTTAAGTTCAAACTCAGTTGCAAGGCTTTCCTGGAGGGCAATTATCTCATTTTAGTCATTTCCCGTAATAACCATATCGTCAACATACACAATAAGAGCGACTCACCTTTTTAAAAACTTGCTTGATGAAAAGAGTATGATTAGCATCACTTTGTTTGTATCCAATTTTCTTCATGAAAGTTGAGAGCCTTCCAAACCATGCTCGAGGGATTGCTTCAATCCGTATAAGGCCCTTCTTAGCTTGTATAATTTGCCATCACAGCTTATGCCCAAAGGAGGAACCATGTATACTTTTTCTTTCAAAGTTCTATCGAGAAATGCATTTTTAACATCAAACTGTCGCAAGTGGCCAATCTTGATTTACTCGCTATGGAAATAAGTATTCGTATGGTATTTATTTTTGCTACAGGAGCAAATGTATCCCCATAATCAATTTTGTACTTCTATGTATACCCTTTAGCAACAAGTCTTACCTCGTAGCGATCTACGATTCCATTGGGATTGAGTTTGACTATAAAAATCCACTCGCACCCTATCGTTTTCTTCCCTACGGCAAGAATACAAGTTCCCATGTATGGTTTTTCCGCAAGGCTTCCATTTCATCATTCATAACTTTCTTCCATTTTGAATCCATTAATGCTTCCCGCATATTACTTGGAATAGATACAGGGGATTATTTATTTACAACAAGTGCATGAGATTTTAACAAACAATGAGAAGAGGTATAATTGTTAATGGGGTATTTAGTCTTAGCTTTAAAATCGGGATCATATTGAATTTTTGGAATCCCTCTCGTTTATCCTAATCGGATATCTTGGTTCGGTTTCAAAAGGAGTTAACTTATGTATTACAGGAGATGAAGGCAATGATGTTACCTAAGGAGACACATTCGAAATTTCTATGGTTGTTGGTGTGCCTTGGGAAATTGTACTATCTTGATTCTCATGAGTGCCATCAACACCCTCGGGATGAACAACCTCGGGATGTGTATCAATATTTGAAAGTTCAACATCCGGTTGCATATCAATTTGTGCTTGTTCCTGGAAAAACTCATGAGTGTTGTCTTCACCTAAATTAAGTGTTGTCTCCCCCGAAGAGAGCACTCATAGCCACCGAAAAAAGAAAGATCTTAATGGAATGTAACATCTCGAGTTACATACATTTTGTTTTCATTAGGATCATAAGACCGATATCCTTTTTTGAAATCGCGTATCCAACAAATATGCAACATGCATGACTCGTGGATCTAGCTTGCTTGTAACTCAATGGACATACACAAGACAACCAAACACACGTGGTTCAAGGTTCGAACCAATTGGTGCCGAGACAAGTTCGTTGAGTTTTTGATATGGAGTTTCGAAGTCAATGACTCGCGATGGAGTCCGATTGATAAGATATGCAGCAGAGCGAACGACTTCACCCCAATACTTTCGAGGCACTTTCATTCCAAACAAGAAAGCTCGAACAACCTCAAGTATTTGGCGATTCTTTCGTTCGTCAAACCGTTTTGTTGCAGTAGTACCGAGTACATGAAGTTTGGTGTCGAATGCCATTTTCTTGACAAAAATTCTCCGAGTCGAATTTATATACTCCCCACCATTATCGGATTGAAGAACTTGAATTCGGCATTGATACCGAGAAGCCACCATTTTATATAGATCCCGAAAGATAAAACAAACATCTCCTTTGTTTCGTAGGAGAGAGATCCAAATCATACGAGTACACTTATCAATAAATTTCATAAAATAACGAGCATCAAAAAAGTAAGGATTTGAGCGGGTCCCCAAACATTAGAGTGGATAGTCATAAAAAGTGTAGTACTCTTATTATAACTAGGCAGATAAGAAATTTTATAGCTCTTTGCCATTTCACAAATGTCACAATTAAACTTAGAATTTGTATGTAAAAACAAACTTGGTTTCAATTTGCGAAGATAATTAAATGATAGATGACCAAGGCGACGATGCCACAACCATGCCATATCGTTGTTTCCTTGACTCCCTTCGGTATTATTTGCTTGACCTGATTGTTTGTAGTAGCCAAATCAAGATAGTATAAATTCCCACATCTAATACCAAAGCCAAGAGTCCATTGTGTTATAATATCCTGAAAAATACATTTATCAGGCCAAAAAATTACAGTACAATTCAAAGCTTTTGTGATTTTGCTAACAGATAAAAGATTGGAAGAAAGAGAAGGGACTACAAGCACAATATCAAGATTAATGGAATTCGACACATGTACTGATCCTTCGCCAGTAACGGGTGCAACTCCTCCATTAGCAGTGAGTATGTAAGGTTGAGTTGAAGAACGAATAGAGGAAACATGGGTAGAATCGTTTGTCATGTGGTCAGTAGCACCTGTATCAATAATCCATGCATCATTCATAGTAAGATAAGTTTTGGACAGACCTGGATCATCAGCCTTGGCAACATGTGCTGCAACTGTATTTGAAGTAGATGCAATCACTTCCTCATCTGTTGTGGTAGTAACAGTAGCTTGTCTAATTTTCTTTCGAGGTTTCTTTATAAAATCCCACCATTCAGGATACCCTATAATTTCATAGCAACGTTGTTTGGAATGTCCCTCCTCACCACAATGAGTGCAAATATAGTTATTTCCTTTAGTGCCAGATTTTTTTCCTTTAGCTTGTTGGGAATTTGCAGTACGTGTGCGGGCAGTCAAGTGAACCATACCATCTGACTGAACCTTAGGTTCCTCCATAGTTTTCCTCTGGTTGTGATCCTTGCGAACATATGCATAGCATGACTCAAGATCAAAAGGTGGATCTTTTCTCAAAATTTCACTTCGAGCTTGATTGAATTCTGGGTCAAGGCCAGCCAAAAAAATATGAACTCGAAGTCGAGTCATATATTTGTGCAGCGATATGATTACAGCAGCATCATCTTCTTGTGTTTGAACACGAGCATCAATTTCCTGAAATATGCCAATCAGTTCATTGTAATATAAAGATAAGGGTCTACCATTTTGATGAGTAGTAAATGATCTCCGATTCAGTTCAAAGAGTTGTGTTTCATCTGAGCCGTCATAAAACATCTTTGTAACTGCTTCCCATATTTCTTTGGCTATTTGAAGATGGATGAATCGTTGCATTAAGAGCGGACTCATAGAGTCAATAAGCCAACTCTTAAACCAGTTATTATCAATAAGCCAGGTTTCCAATTGCTTGTCATCTGCAGCTGGTTTCGGAGTTATACCTGTAAGGAATCCAGATTTGTTTCGAGCTCCAATACGCATCTCCATAAGCTGCGACCATAACGGAAAATTCGTATCATCTAAGATGATTCCATATGGAAAAAGGGTATTGTCTTGGACAATAATTCGAGATTCATGAGGGATAATAGAAGAGGAGGAGTCTTTTTCAGTCATGATTGCAGAGAGAAAGATAAAAAAAACTTCAATTTCTACGTTAGGTATTGCTCTGATACCATATAGAAAAGATAATGGAAAATGATTTTTTCGTATATATCTTTTAAGCATTTACAGCCTATATATATACTAATTTTAATACAACAAGATCCCATTTTATAACCTAAACATAAGACAATTAATTACAAATAAGTAAACAAATTATTTACACAATTTGTCAAATTTGACAGCATATTTTTTCTCCTTATATTGCTCACACAAACAAATTCCACTGCAGGCTCTCTCTCGTGAGATGACGAAGGTATGAGAGTAATGGAGATAAAGGGGAAATAATGCTTAAGAGCAATCTTGTTGGTAGTGGCTGCTATTGTATAAGTGAGAGTAGGGTTTTTGGTATTTTGTGTGATAGTAAAAGCTGGCACAGTGTTGACAATAGAAAGGATGGGGTTAGAGACGTAATGGGAGGAGATTTGTGTGAAGGCATCTTCCCCATAGGGAAAGCCTCCAGCAATAGACCTGCCCGGATGGTTAACGGAGATCCTTCAAAATCGCCATAGGTGAGAGAGAGAAACAGCTTGGGTTTTTCTCATTTTACAACTGGTAAAATTTCATCTCTACCTAATAGCATTACCTTCCCATCAAATGGTTGTTGTTTTCTTTCAATGTTTATATTGATAAAATATCTCGAAATGATTTATCTAAAGATTCTAAACAATTTTTATGAATCATGGCCGCTTCATGCAAAATAACTAGAGTTGTCTACTGTAGCAGTTATGCTAAATAATACCTTTTTTTATTTCACACGCAGAGTTTGAGTTTCCACACATTTAATGATATTTTGAAGCCAAAGCATGACATGAACGAATAGTGTAGATTGGATTGGATCGATACAACATTTAAAAGGCCTAATGCATAATGAAAGCCTGACAGGCCTAGTGGTCCAAATGTTATGAACCTGAATCTCTATGGGCTTTCAGTAAGTTTCTATTTATTTCTCAAAATGAAAGCTCCATCCTTTTTTTATTATTGTAAATTTCAAGTTTTTCCCTTAAATTGAGAGTAAAAAGAGGGTCCGAGGGACAATTTCACAATGATATTCCAACTAAAAGTGTTCTTCTCTCAAAGCAGTGGTGACTATATCAATCAAATCATCAACCCATGCATTTTTGCATCAATTTCTTATAAGAAATTAATTTTGGAAAAAAAAAAAAAAAAAAGGACTACACTTAATTTAGGAGCAGGGCTTCACTTTTGTATCCTCCAATTCTTATTACCCCCACAACATTAGAATTCATTGCCTGCCACTCCATCCAGAAATGATGTGAGCTTAACTATGGTATAAGATCGTTTTGTCAATAGCTAGCCAGCCAAGAACCACAAGGGTGGTCATAAATATCTGAAAGGGATTTGAAAGAGAGAGCGGTAAGCCAAAGACTGACTCAGCAATGTTAACCATAAAGCCACAAATTAACTAGCATCACACATCCATGTCTTCCATAGAATGAGATAAGGTCATCGAGGTTCTTCCACGTGGCAAATTCATTGTGGTGCATACCGATAAGGCTAACGTTCAAAAACTTTCCACCTTCATGTGGACAGAACGGTGTAATGTCATCTCTTATCATATCCAACGGTCAAATTTTGTTCGATATCATCTTCAATAACTGGTGACCATAGGATATGAGATAGACAAGTTGAAGCATTATATATAGGATATGGCAGTAGGACTGGAAATATTGAAATTCTAACATAATATCACATATAGAGGGAGTACTAGATAATTAGCTTGTAAGACATGGCTTCCTCTATGATTTCATCGGCAGCCGTTGCCACCGTTAGCCGCACCCCGGCACAAGCCAACATGGTTGCACCATTCAATGGCCTCAAGTCTACCGCAGCTTTCTCAGTCACCAGGAAGACTAATGACATTACTTCCATCGCAAGCAATGGCGGAAGAGTTCAATGCATCCAGGTAACCTAATAAACAACTACTTCAGGCTTCATCAGTACAATTAAGATGCTTAATTAATTTTACTTTACTAACTTGGAAATTAGTTTTCTGTGCTCACTGTTTTTTTGTTGTTTTGACAAATAATAATAATAATAAAATGTACACACATATTTATATATGTGTATATATATAGGTGTGGCCTCCACGTGGATTGAAGAAGTTCGAGACTCTTTCTTACCTTCCACCTCTCTCCACTGAGGAATTGGCCAAGGAAATAGAGTACCTTCTTCGCAACAAGTGGGTTCCTTGCTTGGAATTCGAGTTGGAGGTGATAAATCCAATCTTATAATTACACAATTTTCACACGTTTTTTTTTATTATTATTAGACTCGAATTGGCCTGGTTGTGCTTTGTAAAATGTACTTGCAAATATATACAATATTTAACACATTATAATTTTTGGATATAATTAATAATTTGAGCAGGAAGATCTCACTTCTGTATATGTAAAATATACAAAATGTTGTTACACGGTTTCATGAATTTTGTTTATTTTAATTTTTATTGAATTATTTGATGGATTTGTTTTGGTTTTTCATTTGTGTGGATTATACATGTCCATTTTTTTGTACAAATTAGACAATTAATTATGTAACTTGTTTATCTACATAACACTTCAAATTTGAATTTTACTCATTATATATAACATTATATAAGCATGAATTTAATTATTTGTTGGATTTGAACCTAAAGGTTGATTTGATAAAACAGGAATTAAAAAAATAAAAAAAATTATGATGTTATTATACATCTGAATTCTTAATTCCTGAACAATAGTAGTAATAATAATATGAGCACTAAGTAACTTATGTTTGTTTTTGCATATGAAAAAATGCAGAAAGGTTTCGTGTACCGTGAGAACCACAGGTCCCCAGGGTACTATGATGGACGCTACTGGACTATGTGGAAGCTACCCATGTTTGGATGCACTGAGGCAGCCCAGGTGTTGGTTGAGCTTGAGGAGGCAAAGAAAGCTTACCCTAACTCCTTTATCCGTATCATCGGATTCGACAACGTTCGTCAAGTGCAGTGCATCAGTTTCATTGCCTCCAAGCCAGCAGGCCTTTAAGTGTTCCGAACTTCGATGTTTCCCTAGCTATTTGTTAGGGTTGGTTTGTTTAAATTGTACCTAGGCATTGCCAAAATGTTTTACTTTTTTTTAATTGGGTTTTTGGACATGAATATTCTACTTTGTTTTGGTTTCTGGATTCGGATGCTGAATCAAGCGTTGAGAATTGTTGAATAAAACGTAGTTTATTCATAAATTTTAGATGATCCCTGCATATTGTTAAATCATTTGCTATGTTTTATCTTTATTAACAGCCTTGATGTTTACGCATGTTGTGTCGATTTAATTTGAGGTACGAATGGCTCTTTCATGTGAGTATAAATATATATATATATTAATCTTCAAAAGGCTGCTATTGAGTGAAATTATTTCCTACATGTAGAAAAGACTTAGCATTTTCTTGAGGATTTTAAGAGGTTATCCCTTAATCCTCCAAGACACATGAATAATGTCATTAGGCTTTGCACAAGAATGACAAGCCTTTTTCTTTTTTTCTTTTTTTTTCTTTTTTCTTTTTTTTTTTTTTTTTGATGAATTAGATCTACATTTTATTTTGTTTTTGTTAATATTTGCAATGAAGAAGTACCTCTGTGATTTATTTTTACTAGATGAGCCTTCACCTTTCTGCCGTGTACTTGGTTAATTAAACTTCTTGACTCATTAAGGGACAACTTGTCCAAAGAAAATAACTTCTTCTTTTTTTTAATTATTAGGTGTCTTAAATCTAAAAATTCAGATTAATCTCTGATTGTTTAATTAAACATATAAGAATAATTATTTAAAGAATTTTCTATGCACGTCAAAATTCAAAATCAAAATCGTTTATTTCAACAATAAGAATTCTTATCAATCAAATTAATCTATTTGAATAAAAAAAAATAACCTTTTTTGAAGAAACTTACAGTCACATCTAAGGAAGAGAATGACTGGTAATGACCACAAATGTACTTCAAATTTAATTTGTGGCCTAATGTTCATCATTGGCCTGCAATTAACTTTCTGCTTGAAAGACAGATCCAACACACAACTTCCTACAATTGAAACTCGTCCTTGGTAATTTGATTTAACTAGAACCCTATTTAAGCACAATGGCCCTGAAATATACAAGTTTGATAGAGCTACTGTACTGCCTTTTATATGAAACAGTCACATCCATCATCGAATTTTAAGCATTCTGTGCGTATTTTGTATAGGCATCCCAAATTAATTAGTTAGGGTAAGTGTAACACTGTCCTAAAGGAAAATAACTACCTGAAATTTAAAAAATTAAATTGACTAGGGTAGGATCCTTTTGTTTTCCTTTTTGGATCTCAAGCTTAAAAATAATTTTCGGCTAAAACATTTCCTGAATTTTAGTTTATTTGAAAATCAATCCTTAAATTTCTAATTTTGGATTTGATTTTTTTTCCCCTTTTAGAATTAGTCCATCTTTTATTTATTTATTTTTTTATCAAAATTAATTATCACATAAATAGTTTCATGAAAATTATTTATTAAGATCTCTTTAAGATTTTCTTAAAAAAAAAAAATGAGATCATTCTAGATTATTTTTACTTTACTTGATTTTTTACTTTTTTATGGTTTAGAAAATGAAAAAAATTACATCTTGACTTTGAAAAAATATGGAATTTTTTTCAAAAAAAAAATAATTGGATTTTTTTTTCTACGAGTTTTCAAATTGTCAGCTCAAAACATCAATAATTAAGTTTATTAAAAGAAAGAGTGATAGGTAGAAATTATAGAATAAATTAAATCTCAAAAAAAAAATTAAAGAAGTCGAAGTCAAAATTAAAGTACAAAGACAGATTTTAAATAAATAAAATTTAGAAGAGATTTGGCCCATTTTAACCATAATTTTCTTGTTTATGAATGAAGAGAATATTCAAATGAAACTAATCAATAAGTCAAGCTAGCTAGAAACAAGCATGATGAACATAAAAAGAAAAATCCCATTTTGGCTGCCCTTATAAGTTGATCAGTGGACTATGTTTTCCCAAAATCTTTAAAGAGAGTATCCAATCATATAGTTCTGTTTTTTATTTTTTTAATGAATTTGAAAGGCTCAGTCATTGATAGCTACCCCTGTGGACATCCCATAAATAAGATAAGATGAAGGTAGAGATAAGAAGTGTTCCTTTCTTTCATTTTAATCACAACACAGTTTTTTGGTTCATTTTGTGTGGTTAAAATGTCAACGTCAAGCTATTTTTCACCATAAAGATGATAGCTTCAAGAACCATTTACAAGAACCTTGCATCTGATCATATTAAGAAATTAAAGAAAAATATCCAAACCAAGCATGGGTTCCCATCCTTAAATGGTTAGTTCCCCGCCCCCCAACGGCCCCCACAACACCACGCCCCAACCACCACCCCACCACCACCCCACCCCACCCCCACCACACACACACACTTTGCCATCTCTAATAATATTGGTCAGTTCATTCCTCGCTCTATTTTTCTATCGATGATTTTAGTAGCTCCTTCTTCTTCTTCTTCTTCTTATTCTTCTTTATATATATTTATATACATATCCCCAATTGAAATATGTCAATTGTCATGATTTCTTTCGCATAAATCGTTAAAAAAGAAATACAAGATTTCAATTCATTGTTCTTGTAACTGTGCTAACTCAGGTCATTGTAATTCCAACGGTTGAAAGTTACAGTAAATACCAAATTTGGCGTTTGTCTATTATAATTTTTGGTTGATGCATTATTATAGAATAATCTGAACCACTAGTCCACTGCCACAAAATGTTGTTCATGAGGCTCCAAACATGTTCTCCACGAAATCTTTTACTATGAAAATCATGAGAATCAGGCTTTTATTTTTATGCAATTATTATGGCTGCCGTTGGACTTCTAGTTCTCTTATGGGCTAGCTAGACCCATATGACTTAACTTTCAGCTTGGGTTTTACAAAGAAGAGACCGAAAACAAGGGATAGGCCCCGATACTTCTAGTTCTCTTATGGGCTAGCTAGACCCATATGACTTCACTTTCAGCTTGGGTTTTACAAAGAAGAGACCGAAAACAAGGGATAGGCCCCGACATAGCATATGGTTTCGCAATTTTTTTTTTTTTTTTTTTTGCTTCGCAATTGTGAAGGATACTACAAGATTAATAGAATGATGTTAACAATTTTTCTTTGGAATTGTGATCTTTAAGTCCTCTAGAAAATAAGCGGCATTACGAAATTATTAAATCATTGTATTTGTGGAGTACTATTTTGCCCTCAAAGTACAAGTACCCTAATCACTTGGAAATCATTAAATTGTCGTATTTGTGGAGTACTATTTAATTTCAATCCCACTTTGGTCCACCCTCCCCCACAGTATTGAGTTGGAAGACCAGTAATAATTTCTCAACTTTGGACCGTAATTAATTAACTTTCGTAAAAGAAAAAAATCCGACATAATTTGGAAAGCTTATATATTTTATTGGATAATACAAGTATAATGAACCTATATATATATATATATATATATAGGTTATACACACACATACAAAGTAATGGAGTATAAAGAAAAGGAAGTAAAAGCTATACAAGGAAGGAAAAGTTGTACAAATCAAAATAGCCTTCAATCGAGCTTGTAATCCCATATCATTGGCCTATAGCCACTAAGAACGTTAACCCCCCCCTCTAAAAAAAAAAACTCAAAATGAGAGTGTAGATACCAACTTGAGTTTTCTTAGTAAGTTGTGGAAGCGTTTAGGAAGATGAGTTTTGGTGAAAATATCGAGCACTGGTTGGCGTAAAAGACAACTACCAAATGCAAATTGCCTCGAGCTTGGTGACAAACAAAATGACAATCAATCTCAATATGGTTGGTGCATTCGTGAAAAAACATTATTATGAGAAATTTGAATAGCACTTTTACTATCATAGTGGAGAATCGTGGCATATGAATAGTGGATGCCTATATCGGATAACAACCAAGCAGAGCCATAGTAATTCAAAGGTGGCATCAGCAAAAGCACGATATTCGATTCGATACTTAGAGCAAGCCGTGATAGTCCGCTTTTGCTTTACCAAGAGATGAGAGAGTCTCCCAGAAGAAGCAATACCCGGTAATAGAACAACAATCAATGGGGTCACCAACTTAATCAACATTTGAATAGCAAAATAACACTAAAGAAGTGTGAGCAGAGAGATATAAACCATTGATTAGAATCCCTCGACATAACGAAGGATACGAAGTACAACGAAGAAAGTGAGATGAACGAGGTGAGCTCTCGAACCGGCTCACTAAATGAACAACATAAGAAATGTTAGGTCAAGTAACAAGTAAGGTAGACAAGACTCCTAATAAGTTGATGATATAACATGGGATCATCTTGTTAGTATAGGTGTCCAAGATCCAACCATGTTTAAATGGGTTTGAGTTATCGTATCATTACATAGTTTATAATAAAGAATTCTTTCTATTAATTCTTATCATTTACATTTATTAATTAATTAGAATTAGATAGAAGTCCATATGATATGCATTTGCATTAATGATTGATCAAAAAATGTAAGATAAATACTAATGCATATAAATGATATAATTAAATATCTCAAATAGTAGCATTGTCAAAAATGGATATTGACTATATGTAGATAGACTTGTGAGTGCTATGTTCATGCTATATGATAGTAGTAAGAGATCTCATACCTATTGGTATAACGATGTCAAAGCAAGCACTTAGGTGATTTATGTTAGAGAACATATTACTCGGACTTGACTCGCTATGAGAACCCATTTGGTTTAGTTTATGGGAATCTCATACAAGATAGGTACAAGTGGTCCTTAGACTTGAAGTCATTACGATTATCTCATTAGAGAATTTATGCACTTTGACACTCGTTCGATGGACTCGGTAAAGGGTTGCACATAGAGGATTCATTGGGTGCACTAGGAATCTAGTGGAAGTGGGTGTATGACTAAGATAAGATATCTCATTTCTTATAAGCTAAAGGAGTTATGATATTGCACTTCAATGAATGTCCGCTCAA